TTTATTACTTGTCACGATCTGTACATTTGCGGAATCTCACTAACACATGCCACCGATTAGCTGAAGCTAGTCGTTTAATGAATCGAGACCAAAAAGTGTCCGATAGGGACTTTCTATCAGTGCCTTATTTTTCTGGTTTCTCATTCAGAGGTTGATTAGTTAATTGTTTGTTAATTCCAAGAATAAGTGCAAATAATACTTGTATTCGTCCATATATCCATTAAGGTCTAATTTTGTGCACTATTTTTTCTTACAATCTAATTTTGTTCTTTAGTCTAATTTCTTTGTACGAGATTTCGTGTCGCATTTTTTTCATTGCAAAATTTTGAGTTAGATGTTCTCATGAATTTCCATGACGAATCTGTCAATGAGAGTTGAGATCCACACAACCTGAAAATTTGGCAGAAGTTGACGAAGTCTTGATTAACCATATAGGCTTGAAACCTATTTTATTGAATTAAAGAACATGTACTCTTAGATTAACTAAAATATCCATGTTTTTTTTTTGTTGTCTGATCGACCATTTACATCCCATGTGCTTAACTGAAAATCCAAGAAACTCCCACAGATTTTCTTGAAACAGCGATTCCGCCAGTTGACTATTCTGTCTTTAACAAACATACTTATCATGTAGCCAATCAACTTGCTACTAATGATTCGAATGTATAGAAGTTTATTTATTCTTATCCTATTGACAAAATCAAATTGTCTAAGCAATTTGGGTTCAAAGCCGCCTCCTCACTCTGTGTATATGTGTATTATACCATTCAACAGTTTGCTTTAAATATCCATAGCTGTTGAGAAGTTCAAATCCAAGAGTACTTGATAAAGATAACAGAGGAAAAAAGTAGAAGAAAACAGGGTTTTGGCAGATATGTATGTGACAAGGCCTGTCTCTCACTACCTAAAGTATCCAGATTCTCTTGCAACACCTCCCGACGGGCCTAATACAGGTTACTTAATAATCCAAGATGAAGAATCTGAGACTTACTCTTGTTTTGGATTGTGCAAAAATCGATCTCTCAGGAACCTGCCTTTCCCTCAGAACAAGGAATTGACTGCCCGCTATGCACAAGGTTTCGGTGAGAAAAAACATGTTTCTTATGACCCAGTTTTCTTGATTCCAGTTCTCAATCAACCAGTGTCTTCCAATCGGTACTATGCCATTGAACCACATGGGAATCATAAAGGGTATAACCTCTCAGTTCTTATAAGCTTATAGTTTGTTTGATGAACGTGGACATGCTTTGCTATTGTAAATTTATTGTTTCAAAGTCAACTAATAAATAGAACAAAGTAAGATTGTTTATGGAGTATTTTTGTGGGATTTGCCTAAATTTTGTCAAATTTTCTTTTCAGGGAAGCGTTCACTTGCTCGAGGGAGGAGGACATGTCCACCTGTTGTTTTTGTCGCTGTGTTAAAGATGTAAAACCAAGGCAATTGGATCCTGAAAACATTTATCAGCAAATTGAGATATGTCCATATGAAACTTTATGCACCTCTAGTGGTTACTTCTTTGCGAAATCTGTTGGACTTGATGGTTTTCCTCCTGATTTCTTGAGAAGGAAAGGATGGTCAATTCGCACCAGAACTCCCGAACACTTTAAATTGGACGAAGCACCAGGTCTTGACTCCAAACTTCGTGTTCGTCTTCCAGAATTCAACTTCCCACTGTCATGTAAGAGTTCTGAAGCCGTTGGTGTTGGGAAGTGGTATTGTCCCTTCATGTTTATTAAGGAAGGAGCATTGAAAGATCAGGTGAAAAGATCAATGTATTACGAGATGACACTTGAGCAAAGATGGGAGCAGATTTTTACGCGCAAGAATGAAAATAATCAAGGAAATTCTGTCCTAATTGATGTTTCTCTCGAAAATGAAGAGGTTTATGTTGATGGAAAGAAAGCAGCGTGGCATAAGAACAACTTTGTCGATGGGGTGATGTGGTTTAAAAGTTCCCACGACGGCAAGGAAACGAGCATTGGGTTAAGAATAGAAATCATTCAAAGAATGAAATGGGAGCAAAACAGGGGTGGAAGGCAAGACGGGGAAAACTGGCAAGTAAAGATTAACAGAGTCGAAGAATTCAAAGAAAGTCGAGTGTGGAAGGAGTTTGGTTGCTATGTTTTGGTTGAAAGATTTGTTCTAAAAAGAATGGATGGAAGTTTGGCAATGACATACAGTTTCTTGCACACTCACCAGTTGAAGTGCAAGTGGGAATAGATCAATTACATTTATATGGACTTGGTTTTTCTTAATTCTTTCCTACGAGAACGAAGTATTAATTGTGTTTTTACGAGAATCAACTTTAACCGTGTTGAAGAAAATGTAACGTGCTTTATAAATGTTTGTTTCAAAATTATTGTACGTCTGAAAATTTGTATTTGAGTGTTCGGAAAACGAAAGAATTGTATTATTGTGAACTCCAAATTTCCATTCTCATTATCAAGAAGTGGATACATAGTTGCTATATTTGTATGACAAACTGAAGGAAATAAATGAACAAATGGTCTACCATAGGTTTCATATCTTCTGCTTAAAAATAGCCACCATATTAAGTGATCTCCTTGATCAATATAACCTCCTGTACTGCAGTGCCGATTCTGAGATTTTTGGGGCATGAGGTGAACTACACCCTCCCCCGCCCAAAAAGAAAGAAAGAAAGAAAGAAAGAAAATTGGATTAAACCCGAGAAGGAAATCCAATCCAAACTCTCAATATTAGATTCAACCAATAATAATATTAATAAAAAAAATAAAAATTAGAGAGCTTATAGTTGCCATTAAGTAATAACTAAAGCTTTAAAATGAATGTTAAAAAGGTATTTCATAACAACAATGTTACAAGTATTGGGGAGTTTTACAGTTTTTTTGTCAGATGCTAAGTGTCAACACTGCATTGATCTATTTTTTTCATCATCCAATCCAATAATGCCACCCCTCACTGTGAAACTCCCTTGTACGTATGGCTTTTTCATTTCACAAAGCTACACTTAAAAAAAAAATTGATTATCAAACAATGATTCACAAAAATTTCCACCAACTTGAGCATAGGACAAAATCAGATGATTTCCATTTAAGTAATTTTCTTATTAGAACTATTTTATAAAGGAAATGGCAGGATCAAAAGTTTTACTCATAATGAAGAATACTTAGTAGTATATATACATAGATGCTTTTCCTCACAACCACATATCAATTATAGGTGAATGAACAAAACTGATAGAGGAAAACCTGCTTTGGTTCATATAAAATATTTAACTTCAAAGAAAAATCAACTCCAAACCTTTGGTTCAAAGAACTAACATCTTATCTTAAACTGATGTATTATTACCTATAGAAATTTCACGACTGGAGCCATTTTAGTCTATTTATTCTCATAAATTCAAATAATCAAAATCAAATAAAAAAACTTAGATTATAGCAACTCAACTTGTTTAGCGCGTGCACACTTCTTTATGAAATTAAAATAGGACCTTAGATCCTTCCATGCCGAATTGAAAGGCTTAGGGTCCGTTTGATTCAAAGATGGAATTTGGGTGGAAAGAAAACGAATTGTAGGGAATTGAATTGACTAGAATTTGTTTTACTGAGAATTGTCAATTAATTGTTTTTGATTGGTATAATTTTTCACCTGAAAAATGTTGAAATTTTTTATCTTTTGGTGTTCGTTTGATTTCGTTTTACATAAAAATTGTCAATTAAAGGGATAATTTTTTTATTTTTTTTTTACAATTGGGGATAAAATGTGTTTCTATTGCTAAAAAAAGAAGATGAAATTTCAATTCCCACCTAAAAGGTAGGAATTTCAATTCAACTAAAATAAAGAAAACTAGCAAATGTGGAAACCCAATTCCAAAGAAAAAAAGTGACATCAAACATGACAAAAGTAGGAAATGGAATTTCAATTCCAATCTTCATGGAAAATAAGGGTCTATCAAATAAGCTCTTAATACTGTTTGGGAAAAAATTCACTTTCCCTACTTTATCTTTACCCTATTTCAAAAATAACAAAACAACTTTTACATTTAAAAAATCAGATATTTTAACCTATACATAAATAAATAAATAAATATAAATATATAATTAACCCACCCCCACCGCTCCGGCGACTATTTCGGCGACCTCTCCGGCGATCGTTTCGTCGACTGCTCCGATCCCGACAATTCTCCGACGACCGTTCCAGCGACTGCTCCAATTCCGACGACTCAGGACACAAGTCACAACTCAGGTCACAATTCAATTCACAAGTCATAGCCTAGGTCACAAGTCACAGTCTATGTCACAACTCAGGTCACAGGTCGCAGCCCAGGTCACAACTCAGAATTTTGTTCACAGTCACATGTTATTTTCAAATGATTACAGCACAGGTTACAAAATATTTTTGCACATGGCTCAGATTAATATTTAGTCACAAATTGTCGAATTTTAAGGTCACGGTTAATCTATTATGCGGTCACAATTAGTCCATTATGTGGTCCTAATTGGTCACGAAACACAACACAGATTCAAACAACTGCCGCCCGCTCCAACCACCGCACCACCACCCAAACACCATAAAAATCACAAATTCACATGGGGGAAATCAAATTCACACTCAAACGACAGTGGGTACACATTTTATTGATCCAATTGCTACAGCTACCACCACAAAATAGTCGGTCCACCACCACACAAAAAACCACCCGAAAACATAAAATTGCCACTCGCCTAAACTGCTTCACCTTCGACTCCGATCTGCAACCACAACCAGACATCCTCCACCACCTACCCACTGCACACATCCTCCACCACCGCACTGTGCTCCTCCACAACACTATAAAAAAGAAAAACAATGGATCTGTAGCAACGGAAGGGCAAAGCGGCATCTGCTTCGTCGCAGCGGCGATCTGAAAGTCACGGAGAGACTTCGCCGCAGATCAATAAAATTGATGCATTCAATAGCCTGAAATTTCAAGTCTCTGCACAAGAAGGCCAACAATGGTATTCTGGTCTGTTTTTAAGCGNAAATATCTGATTTTTGAAACTTAAACCTTAAAATCTGATTTTAGAATTTGAATCTCCAAAAGTAGGGAATTGGGTAATTTTCACTACTGTTTGCATTGAGAATTTCATATTCTCTTCAAGATAGCGGTCCAGATACAAGTATCTATAATAACATCAGAGGGTCAATTTCAATTTATTTAATCAATAATTAAACTAAAAAGGTAAAAAGATGATTGAATTAATCTTTTGACCGAACGAAGGCCTAGGGTTTTCAAGAAAGAGAAATAGGCTAGTCAGGAAATCAACCATCGTAAATTCAGCGGCGGAACGAAGAAAAGTTCTTTCCCTTCTATATTGAACGGAGTATCGTTTTACTCTGAGGCATTTGTTGGGCCAGAGGCATGGGTATCATTCGGCTCGCCCCAGAACTAGGCTTACTGTCTGGGTGGCTGTCTAGGCTTTACATCGTTTCGGCATGGAGGAAATGTCACATGCCCATATGATCCCGCCTACCTATCTAAGCAAACTCCATAGAAACACCATGAGTTGCGCACGGACTGCCCTAGCTCCCAACTCATCTCGAGAATGAGTTGGGTCATGAGTTGCTGGTCTAATGTTTAATTCAAGACTTGGGTGGTTAACCATATTTAACTAGTTTCGAAATGGATTGGAAATCCAGGACGACGACATAGCACGAACTCAGCTCTGGAAAATCTACTTGCCACATCCTCTTCGATTTCATCCCTAACCTCTCCTAAATCGTAGGGATCTCCAATTGTGTAAATTTTTTAATGTAGTAGTTTAACGTAGTATTAGAGCGGGTAAAAGTATCTGAAATTAAGAAGGTGTTTGGTGATGATTAAAATTAGATTTTTAGTAGACTGTGATAGAAATTTTTGAAATGTGTGATTAAAAAGTTGTGGTACCCATGAAAGATGCGTTTAATATTGATTGTTTGACTTTGACTTGAATTAAAATATGATTTTAATTCGAACCAAACAGAGGCTAAGTAAATAAATAAATCCAGTCTTCAGATAATATTTAAATAAATAAATTTATCTTTTATATAAGAATTTATACATTTTTTGTTATTTAATACTGTATTCAGATGAGTTGATAAATCTAGTCGTGTTAGTCAAAATTGGAAGCTAATAGGAATTGTCATTGCCATTGCCTTTGCGTGTGGGTTCAATCGCATGGACAGAGACTATTCAATTCAACTAATTTCGATATAAGAACAAGCGAGTCAAATCTAACAGAACTATAAAATATGCCATTTTTGGAAGTATACATAGTTCTATGATGATGTAATTGGCGGTAGAATAATTAATTTGAGACAAAATAAAAATAGAGTTTTCATTTGACAAATTTATAAATGATTTATAAAGAAAAAATAATAACGATTCCCACGAACCAAAGAATAATAATGAGTAATAATTTTGAATATATTGTTAGTATTACTTAAATTAATAAACTATTTATAAATTTGTATCAAAACAAAGGCCAATATGATAGCTAAAGTAGAGGTGTAATGTTATTTATCATCATGATTAATGAATATCGGTGATGTGATTATCCCTCACATTTCTCTCTCGCCTCCCCCTTTCTTATAAAAATTGAATTATTCAATCTCATTATTCTACATAAACTGCTAAATTATAATCTTATTAGTGCAATTAATGGAAGTACACACCCTAGTTGTTAAAATGCTTAATTGCACAAAACGTCCATACGTTTGGCATGTATTGTGCAAAACGTTCATAGTTTCAATTTTTTGCAATTTCACTCCTATTTCAACGTTTTAGTACGAAAAACGTCATTTTCACCTATTTTTAATGTAAAATGACAAATATACCCTCATATGTAAATAAAACAAAAAAGAAAAATAAAGAATAAAGAATAAATTGCAATCTTACTCCTAAACTTTTTAAAATATGCAAATGAGTACAAAATTTATGAAAATATTAAAAAAAAACTCTTTCTCTCTTCTCCTTCGCCTCCCTCTGCCTCCACCGCCAAAACCATTGGAATTTCGCCCCTTTATTTTGACTCCAAATTTTGGTTCGAACTTTTTCTCTCTTCTCTTCGTGGTGTGTGAGGAACGACATTTGACTCCAAAATTTGGCAAACGAGGGCTGTAATTTCCACAATTGAACGATTACCCAAAGTTGTTTGAGCCTGAATTTGAGTTTTCCCAAGTTGATTCGTATGTCGAGACACAATTGAGCCACGAATGGATGGAAGAATTTCCCATTTGTGGGAACGAACAATTCATTATGTCAATCCAAAATTGTTTCATTTGGCTGATGAATTGAAGCAATTGAATCCTTGCCCAAGGTCCTTTTACCTTTAATTACATGCTGGTTGATGCAATTTGTAGATTGGAGTTGTGGAGGGATGCCAATTGAAAGGGGATCAGGCCAGTTTTTAACGCGTGTGCACTGTCAAGTGTGGTTTTTCCATTTATGGGCAAAATTGACGATGATCCATAGGTGCATTAGGCCCACCTTGAGTATGTGGTGCTAGGAAAGGTGGAACGTGATCGTGGGTCTTAACGTCGGCGCCGAAAAATGAGTTTGAAGTGACCGAATTCGCTGTTGAAGAAAATGGTAGTAGATTTTTATTTTGAGCTTTTTTTAATGTTATGAACACATCTGTAGGAGCGCAATGAGAGTTCAATTGCAGAGGGGTGAAATTTCGATGGTTTTGGCGGTGGCGGCGACAGTGGTGGTGGAGACGGAGGAGAAGAGATAAATAGTTTTTTGTTATTTTTAATATTTTCATAAATTTTGTACTCATTTGCATTTTTTTAAAAAGTTTAGGAGTAAGATTGCAATTTATTCTTTTCTTTTCTTTTTTCTTTTATTTATATAAGAGGGTATATTTGTCGTTTTACGTTAAAAATAGGTGAAAATGACGTTTTCCGCAATGAAATGTTGAAATATGGGTGAAAATACAAAAAATTGAAACGTATGAACGTTTTGCACACTACATGCCAAACGTAGGGACGTTTTGTGCGATTAAGCCTTGTTAAAAAAATCAATTGGGCTCAGTTTGCAATTTTTAAAAAGTACAAGGACTAAAGTATAATGTAAGAAGAGTTCTACAATTAGGTTTTTCTGACCCGTGATATTTCTCCGGAGGTTGATCATAAGTTTTAAAGTCGTTATTTGAGGTTTAGAGGGATAATTGCAATTTTTTGGCATGTATGGAGTCAATTTGGAATTGTACACTTTTCAAGGGACTAAAATGAAAAATATACGTATATGTGTGTGTATTTGCAATATAAGGTTTAAGAGATAATTCAATATTGTTGTCGGGTTGTTTGAGAACTTTCGATAAAAAAAAATTGCATATTCTAATAAAAATTGATGCAATGTATAACTGAAAAATAGATAAAAGTTGTGTCCCATGATTGAAATCAAAATTTGACAGAAGTTAATAAAATTTTATCACACAAACACGGATAAAACCACCAAACTAGAACGTCCATTAAAATGTACATGGTATGCAAATCACCATTGTTTTGAGACAGCGCATGTGGCTCGTGAGCCTTGAATTTGAACTAAAGAATTATCTTCTCATTATTAAGAAGTAGATACATATTTTCCGTAGCCATATTTGTGTAAGAAATTGAAAGAATGAAGGTGGTTCTGGTTCAACGTCAACGCAGCCACCATGTACAGCGATCCCTTGATCTGGCAGCACAGAAGTTGATCAATATCTCCTCCTGGTAGCCGTTGGCAGCCAGTCGATGCGGCTTTACATTATTCCGGCATAGAGGGCACGTCACGTGCCCATATCCCAGCCACCTATCCAAGCAAACTCTATGGAAAAGATGATTGCAACTTAGCTCCCTAGTTTCATCTCCATCATCAATCCCGCATAAACACACAGCACATTCTACTGTACTCCCATTGCTTTCGTAGCGTGTTATGCTAATATCATCGACATATTCGGGTAATATGATTCCATTAGAATGAAAGGACTGGTAAAGAAGGTAATCCCATGCCCACTTCAGCTGAGTTACAATCAGAATGGTATAGTTCAATACACCTGATTGTTGCAGCATTTTTACTTTTTGGCTATGGTGAATGGAAATAGAGGGCTGTGGCTGGTTAGGATTAAAAGGGTATATTTATACAAAAAAACTGGATGGCTGCAGGATGAATTTTCTATTGCTTTTGTTGGACTAAATGGGGTTTTTCTTTGAATACATTAGTCTCATTAAGTGGCTTTTTAAACCATGTGCTTTTGTTCTCGTTTTCACTTTTCATCTCCTGTACAATTTAAGTGCTTGTTTGAGTTTTTTTTTTTCTCAAAATGCATTTTGAAATAGTATTTTAATGAAGAAAAAATAAGTAAATGTTCTGAATTTGCGTGTAATATTATTTCATTGAAAAATGCGTGATTGAAAATAAAAGAGAAAAAAATATATTTTAAAAAAAATAGGGACCAAACAGGATTAAGTAGACTCTATCAAGTTGACGTGATAAGAAAAAAGTAGACATTATGAAGACAACTGTTTAGACGTAAATAATTTCGCAAAATTTAAACTTTCAATCTTTTCTCACGTTGGTTATTTTTACTCTCGAAATTTGCATATAACCGTCTATTCATTAAAGATTAATGTCACGTGGAGTGAAAGTCTCTCTACTTGTATGCTACGTAGACTGTCACTTAATGTCGCCTGTGTTAAATTTTACCAATGCTGCATGACATTATGATCAAGAGAAAAGAACGAATCAATATGGCTCGACAAATATCTTCACAAGTATTTTAAGAAGTCGTCTAAGTCAATTTTTTGCTAAACGTCGTGGGCAAAACGAAATTCTGCACTCCAAATTTTTTTACTGCTCACTTTCCCAGAAGTTGCTTGAATTGCATTGACAGACCATTCAATTCAACCTTTTTGGTCCCAAAGAATATATAAAATAAGGGCATGCAATGGAAGAATAAATATGGAATTTTTGGATAAACGACACTAATACTAAGTTGGCGGTCGAGAAAGGGAATTCAATAATTTGGACAAAAATGGCTGCCATAAAAAAACATTATTTCCTAGATAGACTAGAATTATCAAGGGAAAAATTAAAGACCAGAGAGCGTTAGGTAACGAGTCCAAGCACTTTTCAACATTTTTGGATTGAACACGATATATTTTTTTGATTTCTTGTCACCTAAGTTAAGCCCCTGCTTTGTCGGGGAAAAAAATTAAATTTTTAGTAGATTTTCATTAAAAAAAAAATGAAATGTGTGATTAAAAATTCGATAAAAATTGTGAAACACATGAAATATGTGATTGAAAATACGTTTTGGGGAAAAAAAAATTAGTTCTAAGAAATGGGATTCAAATAAAGACTAAGATTATTATGTTATTGTAAGTAATGAAATTTCAAACTCTAAGGGTGCGTTTGATGGCCAAAATTTTCCATGGAAAATGTCAGTTTTCCTTCAAAATTACCCTTTCTCTCTCTCATCTCAACCACGTACAAAACTCTTCTCTCTCCTCTAATCATACAAAAGAACTAGGAAGAAAGATATTGAAAATCTATACCATAAAAAACTCATACAAAGGCTTAATTTTGTTCTTTGCCCTCTCTAATCGGAGGCTCTGTATACTCTCCACTAGCAAGATCTTCGACGAGGTGATTAATTTTACGCAGGCCTCATTCCACGCATTTTGTGCTTCAATTGGATTTTTTTTTTTTGATTTTGGAGTATAATTATTGTTGAAAATCTATAAACTGTAGTCAGATCTTTCAATCTTGATTTTAAATAGTTATTTTCCTTATTATTTATGTAAAATATTAGTAAAATTGACCCGTTTCTCGCTATGGAACTGGATATTCACAAATTTCCTTTGCCTCTGTCCCTTTTTCTTTAAATGGTGGGGTGGGGTGGGGTGAGGTGCTGATCAGATTCTTTTATGATAAATACAATTGTTTTCCTTTGTAAATTGGACATTGGCGTTTGCTTTCTGGCCATTTGGGTATAGCCATCAAACAACATGGTACAGCTCCTTGGATGCAGGTCATTAAATGGGACTTATGTGAGAGATATCTAAACTAAACGTAGGAAACTTTACTTGCTGGAATTTCAAGATTTGGCTTCGGTCGACTGATCTCTGCATTGAAATTTTGGCTTCATGTTGTGTTGTTCAAGGCATCTCATATCTGATACTCTAGTTGTTGGATTCCATTGGATTCATTTCGTTTTTAATTCTCTGTTGATGCTTTTGCCCTAAGATTGGGTGGCCTATGACTTGCCTATTTGAGAACATGTTAATTTCTTTTGGTCAAAAAATTATTGCGTTCATGACATAATTTAGTGAATCATTTTTACTTTCTTTCTTAATCCGTTAGCGTTGGATCCTTTGCTTCTCTCTTAAACAAAACTAGTACATCTCCCAAAAGTAAAAACTATACTGGAATTGATCCATCTGTATCATCACCAAATGGTAACACAGACACCTGGCTTACTTTTGAGACTATCTTAAGGTGTGCCAGCCCTTCAGCGCGCTTATAAACTGCATAAATAAAAATTACTCCCTTAATTTGTTATTTCAAATTGAGAAAAGCATATCATGCTGAAATATCGTAACCACAAATTAGACTTATGATTTGTTGAAATGTTATAATATGAATATCTTAGATGGTATATGGTATATTATGAGTACAAATTTTCTTTTAATGACTATTGTCTTGTAATAATGGATTCTCCTGTTTTGTTATTACAAATGCTTGTTGCCACCATAATACACCGTTTAAAATGCAGATGTAGAGGATACTTGATTTTTTTAACTTATAAATGGTTTGTACGTAATGCTTTTGTTATTTTCAATTTATTTTAAAAATTTTTACTTTTAAAAAAATAATTGGTTAGTAAATGTTGAATACGTATATGATAAAAGTTGATGAAATTCAATTAATTAGTAAATTTGTCCAGGGGTTTGTTTCCCTTGATTGAACAATTTTCATGGAAAAAGTGACAATTTCCATGGAAAAGGTGACAAGTTCCATGGAAAATAGTTGCTATCAAACGACAAAAGTTGGAAAAAACGACCATTTCCATGGAAAATAATGTCTATCAAACACCTAAATATGGAAAAGTACAATATTTTCTAGGTGAAAAATTAAGTCAATCAAACGCATTTAATTGACCATTTCCATGTAAATAATTTATAGGCAATTGAATTGTCTAGAAAATATTTTCTTTCCATGCAAATTCCATGCTTGCAATCAAACACACCCTAAAACATCATATCTACGTCAGCTCGGAATTTTTCCTTTGAGTAGAAAAAGTTTTGGAATTTTACTTTCAGCTCTACGGCCCCGTTTGATAGCCATGATCTTCCATGGAAAATGGAAATTTTTTTCCATTTTTCAACTTTTGCATCTATTTGATAGTAAAATTTTCTGCAGAATTTTTTTTCCCACACTTTCCAGCTTTTGGAGGAAAATATTTTCTTTTTGTTTTGGTTGGAATTGATTTTTCCAAGTTCTTAGGCATTTTTTTTTTTACAATTAGAAAAAATTCTAGACACAATGGTAAAAAAAAAAAAATTCAATTTTATTGACAATTTTCATGCAAAATAAGTCAAACAAATGATATTCGGTATGATAATTTCTTTTTTTTGCAATTGGAACAAATTCTAGACCCAATGATAGAAAAAAATATCACTTTAAAGGATAATTTTAATAAAAAACGAAGTCAAACGGATACCAAACTTTCAATATTTTTCAGGTGAAAAATTATACCAATTAAACACAATTAATTACAATTCCAGTAAAACAATTTCTAGGTCATTCAATTCCCTGTAAAATATTTTCTTTCCACTCATTTTCTATATTTACAATCAAACGGACGCTACAATCTCGACACTAAGCAATATTGAACAAGAAATATGTAAAATAAAGTACGAACAAAAATATTCGAACGGACGGAATCGAGATCGATGAAAGAACAATCACTAACCTTGTATGGTTGTAATTGTGTTGGAGAAAATGAATTATTAAAATTGGGGCCAACACCAAAAAGATCCACAAATCACAAATGAAATTGTAAAGAGAAAAACGGAGGAAACGGACAAAAACCCGAAGAACGCAAAGAACTTTGTTTTCGTTCCCACAAAATTCGTGCTCCCTCCTCAAAGCTTTTGCACATACACAATGGCGTCAGTAGCTGGGAAAGCAAACCCATATTTTCTTGCTGCTCCATCATCTCACTCTCACTTTTATCCCTCACCTAATTTTACCCACAAAAACTTAATAAAAATCCCATTGTCCTCTGATCCTCCAAGTCCGAGGCTGATTTCGGTGCGTTCCAACAACCCCAACCTCGATTCCATCAAAATGGATCAGACTGCGTCCGGGTTGGGATCAGGACCTGGGAACCAGATCCATTCGAATGCATCTTCCTCTCCTTCTGCTTCCATTGATTTCCTCACTCTGTGCCATCGTCTGAAGGTATGTGTGTGTGTGTGTATATATATATATTCATAGATTAATAAATGCACACATTCTGGTGTTTTGCATGAGTAAATGTCGGGCTGATTGTATAATGTGATATATGTTTGCCTTCTTAACGTATTTTAGTGTGATCAGATAAATGATAATGTAGGTTGAAGTTGGTGAATTTTACCTAGATTCTTTATAATTTTAGTTAATTTGATTTTGATTTTTTATTTTTGAAAGAGAATTTGATATTAATCTTTTGGTATGGTGGTTAACTTTTTCGTTAAGAGTATGTGTTTGATAAAATTTTAATCTTCTCATGTTACTGTGAAGCTAGTACAATATCCTAACAAAAAAAAGATAGATAATAGAAATGCCTAGTGTTTAGGAATGCAGGATGCTGATATGGTATGAATGGATATGAGAGATCACTTATTTCTTCACCACCGGAAGTTGGGGGAGCAGGCATGGAAGATATCTTGATATAGAGGGAAAAATGTCATGTAGAGGCAGTATGTAATGAAAAGGGAACAGGAGAGATGGTTAAAGTGAACTTTATGCAGAATTTACATTCTTACTTTACACGTTTGAAATTGTGCCCATCCTAATTCACCAAACCATATATAACCTTAGAGCACCACTTAATGTTGGATAATTAAAAGAACTGTGGTTTTTTGTAAAGGGTAGGATAACTGTTGAAGTATGACCCAAATTCTATTAGATATTGGTATTTTGGTTGAAGAGGACTTGAAGAGGTCAAATTATAGAACATGGAGAAAAAGTCGGTCTATTCTCGGTTGGCTCACTTTCAAGCGCTCCAAACTGGAGTGCGGCGCTTGCTTGGAGCTTGAATGGCAGTTCGTTCCGACTCAAGCCCGTTTCGCTTTTTAACACGTTTTCAACACTCCATTCCTTCTAAAATTGTATGTTAATGGTTTATATATATGAACTACGAATTGTAAACATACATAGAGCCTCGAGAGAGCTTTAGATCTTGATTGAGAGTGTTGGGATCTTGTGTAAACAACATTCATTATTGATTATAGTGAAATACTCCTCCTCTGCCCGTGAATTTTTCCCATCTTGGGTTTCCTCGTAAAATCTTAGCGTTCTTGTGTGATTGATTTATTTATTTCATCTTTGCAATTTCTTGCTTTATTCACAAGAGTAACTATGGCCAAAATTTTGTGTTTTGTGTTTTTTGGTAACTAATAGGGTGAAACAATATCTCTTAAGTCCTTGTATACCATTTTAAAGGATAGTGTCATTGAGCAATCTTAGTTTTCCTTTTCCTGGAGTGGCAATTCTTTGAATTGTAAAATTTACTGAGAGCAAAGCTGTTTCTGTTCTTGTTTTCACTTTTCATACCCTTGATAGCAAGATCATTTCTAACATAATATTATTGCATGGATAACTAGAACTAGTACATAACATCAAAGTTGCTTAACATAAAAGACAAATCAAAAAAGACACGGAAAAAAACTTAAAGGAAAAGAATTCATTGTTTTTCTTATGTTACAATCTAATTCCATTTTAGTTTATATGCCATGCCATATGTATTTAAATTATTTGTAAAATTTTAGGTTCTGGATTGTAGCTAATTTTTTTTATTAATATAACATTTAGAGATATGACACATCTAGTAGCTATTCAAGTTATTTGCCTTTTCAGTTCGATAAATCTCTCTATCTCTCAGACTACAAAACGAAAAGGATGGATTAATCATGGCATAAAGGGTCCTGAATCTATTGCTGATCATATGTACCGCATGGCATTGATGGCTTTGATTGCTGATGACCTTCCTGGAGTGAACAGGGAAAGGTTAGATTTTCACAGTTTTTTGTAATCCTTGTTTGTTCATCTTATGTACACGAGCTAACTAGCAAGAAATTGTGATAGTTCATATAATATTATAGCTGATAATGAATACCTACGAGGACTGAGCGAATAAGTTAATCACATGTTCGTCCTGGCTTTCATTGTTCAAATGCCTTCAGATTATGAAAATTATTTAGAGAGCATAGTGAAAGTGGTTAAGCAACATATTATGGGTCCTTTCGGCCCTACCCAAAAGTCATTACTTACCAATTATGTTTCATTTCTATCTGATTTCAGCAATTCATGCCAAGTGTTCTTTACAAGTTTCATCTAAATCAATAGTAGTATAGAGTATGTCTATACTATTAACTGATCATTTGTATAGATGACAGAGATATTTTATACAGCTTTAAAGCTATCCAGGTAGGTTTTTTTATTTTATACAACTTCAAAGCTATCCTGGTAGGTTTTTTATGTTCACTGATGCTTATACGTTGAGAATAAGCAAATTTAAGTCAGGCTTCCTTGTTGTTTTGTTTATGAAGTGTATCCAAGTGCTTCTGGACTTCCTAAGTTGTTGACATATTTTGACCTACTCCAATTGTGGATTGCATCTGTTCAGTAATTTAGTTCTTTCAAGAAACCTAATATTTATGCTTTTTCCGTCAAAGATGCCATAGTATATACAACACCTCCCAATTCCCATCCACTCTCTATAAATCTTTGTGAACTCTTTTAAAGCTAAGAAAGGTGTTTATTGTTGTTTACCAAAGACATGCACCAATAAGTAGTTACTTAAATTTCACTTGCTTACTTCTTTAGTCTAATTAATCTTGTCTTAATATCAACTTATACAACAGGTGTATCAAGATAGCACTCGTTCATGATATTGCAGAAGGTATATTCTTGATTCAATTGTATTTTTCTGACATATGTCAAATATTCAACTGCTCAAAAATAATTACTTTTATTCTATTTCAAGCTGAAAGCTGCTCTATTTAATCCGTTTTGAATCTTATGACCTTTTTGGTAGCTGATTAGCTGTACATGGCAATTTTCTAACCTAATGTGCGTCTTCTTGCTGAATTCAGCCTCATGAAGTTTCTGGATTAGGGCTTTATATTTTCCTGCTCCAGTTTTCTGTTTTATGTGACCTTTTTATAGTTTGAATTTGAAGAACTGGTATTTCATTAGGCCCCTGTTTGAAAACATTCTTTCAAAATATATCATTTCATAACTCATTTTCAACCACACATTTTTCAATAAAATAATATTTTTCATCACATCAATAATTTTTCCTTACTTTTTAACCACATATATCACTATTTAAAATACATGCTTTCCTCAATAATATCCATCAAACGCACCCTAGATTAGCAAACTCTAAGTGAACTGTATGCTTGCTAAACATGTACATAACTATTATGCTCATTCTATAATCTTTAACAATTCATTATTTCTCAAATATTACTATTGAGAGAAATGTTAATCTGTAAGGTTTAAAAATTATTATGAGTAATTGGGAAAAAATTGTATCATGCTTTAAGAAAGCTGAGGTTAAAAGCCTTAAAATCTTTTAAGAACTAGTAAATGATGTTTCAATGACTACTGACTACTGTAGTACTAGATGTTTTCGTCTACCTGAATTCTGGTTCTTATGAACTGAAAATGACAATTTTGACACCTTAATACTTAGAAGACCTGGCTGCATATGCAATGCAACCTTTCTATTCTTATTCTATTATCTTCTGGTTGTTTTATTTTAAAAACACGAAAACCAAGCTTCCGTCCCTATAATTCTGAGGTTCTAGAGAAAGATCTACTAAAGTTAAATCCTTCGTCATTTACCTTTTTGGCTGCTGGATAGATATTGAGCACACAGGCACATACACAAAGACACAAACCCACGCTTTTAAATGCTTGTGACATCATTATTCTCGTATACAGTATAGCTTTTCATTTATACCTTAATCATTGTTATCATTGACAATTGTACACAATGAAGGTTGTTTGATATTGATTATGACTTTTTTAGCTATTGTTGGAGATATAACACCATCTGATGGTGTGCCAAAGGAAGAGAAAAGTAGACTGGAACAAGCAGCTTTGAATGAAATGTGCAAGGTTCTTGGTGGAGGGATGAGAGGTTTGACTAAGGACTATAAGTAATACTATTCTCCTCATAAGATCTATAGTAATTATTACATTTTTGTGTTTGCAGCTGAAGAGATCCAAGAACTCTGGCAAGAGTATGAAAACAACTCTTCCTTAGAGGCCAATCTTGTGAAAGATTTCGACAAAGTATGTAATCTTTGCATTTTTCTGTCTATTACGACGTGCGTTTAAATTGAGAACACATTCTTCCAAATTAATACTAGTAGATTAGCTCATCATCATGTTCTGGGGGTAATGTTGAGCATACTATACAAGACTTGTAATGATATTTTAACTTGGTATCAAAGCAGGAGGTCCGGAGTTCGATTCTCCAAATGGAGAATGATGAAGAGCATCACTGACTTCGGGGTGGGCCTATGTCATAAGGGATATTTCTTAGTAAAAATCCAAACAAACAGTGTTTGGGATGGATTCCCAGGCCTGATCCTGGGTGATTTAGGGCTAAATTGTGCATCTCCTGCAATAGCATTTGGGAAAAGTTAAAGTGGTTGCATCCCTATTTTTTTTTTTTTTCACATTCATGCCACTTACCTACCTTCAATTTTCTTTCATTCAGGCCTCTAATTAACAGCAAATAATAAACATAAGTAGTCTAATGAGATATGCACATCTCTCATCTTACTGATGTAGTTCATGGAACAGCAGTACAAGTAGGCGTTCAATGTTAGGGTGGCAATGGTGTATAATATTTTGAGTGGGTGGCAGGATATTTGGGTTCAACCAGTGAACATGAAATCATGGCCATGCAAGTTTAAAGAGTTAGTCAGGTGGTTATGACTGGTGATGATGAGTATTTAATTGCAGTAGTGAAGATTGGGTGGCAACGAGCCTTTTGGCAGTTGAGAGAGATTGCTTGCTGCTTGTTGATTTTCCTTTTCTTCCTTTTATTTTTTTAAATGGCTGCTTGTTGGTTTTAAAGGGTAATGCTTATCTTTGTTAAATCTTTATGAATTTTGTTATTTCAAAAGAAAAACGATGTTATGTCTGGTTGAAAGATAGAGGAGCTACTGTTAAACTTGCAATGTAGTCGTCTACAAATGTGTGTGCTAGTGCGCACAAGATTTCATCTATGTTGTTCTTCATAAAATTACATTTTTCCTTTCTTCTGACTGAATTTCCATCGGGTTTCTAAACTAAATTCATGCATCTTCAGATCGAAATGATTCTGCAAGCCTTGGAGTATGAAACGGGTAAGTGGATCATGAAATTTTCTGAGATGATATAGTAATTCCTAGTCTGAGCTATATTGCTAGAGTTAGCTTATCTTTCTTTGTGCTAATCACATTAGTGAGGATTGTACTCATTCTTAGTAATACTATGAGGCAAATAAATAAGCTTGTGTTTGGCAAAATTCATAAATAATTTATAAATGGTCAAACTGCATTTTTAACCATACATTCTAACGGATCCACAAGTACTATCCATTTATTTACCGTTGATTTCTAATTATTTACAATTAAACTGTTTATAAGTTCTTCCCAAAAGGAAGCTAAGATTTTCATGCAAGTAATTACATTTATTAGTGTGTGAACATCACCCCATATTTTAGGTACTTCACAGTATTTGTTTATACCTCGCATGGTGTTGGGTACTCCCGGCATTCCCCTAGTTATGAGCTTTTATATGATTGCACGATCATCTCTTCTAAGTTTTTTGCAGTTTGTTACTGAGTTATAAGATGATGTATTACCTTGTGATTTTAATTTGGGATTGAAACTCTGGCAGAGCACGGGAAGGTTTTGGATGAATTCTTTCTATCAACTGCAGGTAAACCTGATACTTTATTCAATTCGAAAATGAGAAAAATATCGACACTAACATTAATACATGTAGCTAGTCAACTGATTATTTGTTATATACATGTTCATGAAGGAAAAATTCAAACTGAAATAGGAAAGAGATGGGCAGCAGAAGTCACTTCCAGGAGAAATTCAAGATTGGCAAACAGGCAATGTTAGACATCCGTTTTTCGACTTGTAGTTGGGATTTTCCAGCTTCTTTCGTATTAGACGTGGATACTTTACCCTACTTTTGGTGTCGCTTCTTCTCACAGAAAATGCTCGGAAGATGAACAACAAATGTGAAGGTAATCCAGTTAGTTTATGTCGTTAACATAATAGCTAGAGCTTATACTATCTTTTCTTCTTTGTTTCCCTTTTTTCTCTTAAACGGAGAAAAGAGCCATCTTTTTCTTCGAAACCCTGTGGTTGGGAGTATTATCCGAATCAGCTTGCGGGATGAATTAGTCGAAAATCAAATGTATGGATAAAAAGTTTGATGTACTAACAGAACCTTTTTTTTTATTTTTGTGTAAACTTAAACTGAAACGTAATTATGTGTACTTTTTTATTAGAATTCTCGACATTTTGCCATGACATGTGCATCTAAAGTTTCAATTCATTTGTAAATCCTTGCTGCATTGTTTGTTTGGCTATTTGGGTGTTTTTTTTTAAGTCAAATGGAGAATTTGGGCTCGCCCAAGCCTTGCCCAACGGTTGAAATCTTTCACTACAAGAATTTGAAATTCTTATTAAAATAGATAATTTATTTTCTATTTATCTGCCACTTTTGCTAGGATTACACACAAGAAAAATTTGTGGCATGGCCTGTCCATTGCCCTATTGACTACTTGTTTGTGTCTAGCTAGTCTATGCCCCCATTAAAATTATAATCTATTTTTTTTTCACTTCTTCTCAACCAAACATTCCCCAATAAAATAATATTGCACCTAAAATTAATTTTTTTTAACCGCATTTTTCGAAAAAATACTATTCTGAAAATTATAATCTCAAATAATGGAGGCGAAACGGGTGCGATGTATTTATAATTTTCTAATAAAATGAAATCTTAATTCAATTCTGTCGGTCTACATGATGAAAATACTGATCAATAATAAATATTTTGTTTAGATGTCCCTCAATATTTCATTAAGGCCTTGTTTGATAGGGTAAGTTTTCCATGAAACATGGAAATTTTTTTGCTATTTTCCACTTTTTAGAGTGTTTCATAAGGGACATTTTTCAGGTAATTGGTTTTTCACATTTTCTTAGTTTGCTACATTTTCTTGTTTTTTGAGGTAAATCAATTCTCATCACTTTGGTAAGAATTGGTTTTCTATGCAGTTTTTTTTTTTTTTTTTTTTTTT